GATGTATTTTCATATAAATTACTTATACTTATGTTTCAAAATGTACTAATTATTTTTGTATTTTATGAATATTAAAATAAAAAATACTTAAATCAAACCTTTATATTAAATATGTTCATGGTATAAATTATTATTATATATGTAATTTATTCAACAATTTTAGTAAATCACTGTCCTTTCAAAACATCGCTTCAGTAAAATACGTCGGACAAAATTAATACATGTCAGTCATTTTTCTAAACTATTTATTTTGAAAGTGGCTTAAGTCACTTTACCGTAATGAAAAGTGGTGATTTTTTAATGTTTATACGAAATTATTTATACTGAGAAAAATATCAGTATCCTGAGATAACAAATACAAGTAAATCTACTCGAAAGTTAGCATCCATATTTTTAAACGTGTTAAAACGCAAACCCTTAAATATATCGACTTAAAAACAAAGTGACCTATGCCACTTTTAAAATAAACGGCTCATATGCTAACGTAACTATTTTTCGGAATATAGAGTTGGTTGAATGCGGTGTCGCAATAGAAAAGAACTGCCGCGTTTAATCGATACGATTTTCCTCCTCTCGCAGAACGATGTCAGAGGAATCGTATCGTTTATGAAAATGAAAATCAATATCTTACTTTGATCACAAACAAATACATATTTCTGATGGGCAGAATTGTTAGATGAGTAAAGATGGGTAAAGCATCATTTAGATCCAGTATTAGATTTTAGAAATTAGTAACATGTATCATCCTATTAGAAATGAATCATATTTCATTTATTGGGTTGGCAACTAAGCTCCCGCCGTTTTTCTGAATTTGTTTAAAAGTATTTTTTAAATAACCTTTCCCATTGAATGAAGGTGCTTCTCTATAGCAATAAGGGAGCATTCCATTTTCTTTGCCAGTTCCCTTGTCGTTTGACGCGAATTTACGTGCAAAAGTTGGTTTAATCGTTCTTCATCGAACTCACAACTGGACGGCCAGAACGAGGTGCGTCTTCGAGGTCAAAATTTCCATTTTTGAACTTGGCATACCAATCACGAGCGGTACCAACCACTCCATACACAGCGCAAATGTCGCGAGCAGCTTTTGCGGCCTTAGAACCTTCATTAGAAGCAAAAAGAAGGAGAAAATGCTCATTTTTCTCAACTTGACATTCCATTTTAATGATCTGAAAATTAACAGAAATTAACTCGAACAAAAAAACAGAACATAGATTCCGGTAGAACAAAACATCCTCTTTCGAATGATTTAAAATATCATGCCGAAAACATTTAATGACATACGGAATGTTAAAATTTTAAAACACGGCGGGAACTTGGTTGTCAACCTAATAGAAGCGTACTTAGTTCTTATGACAACGATGACTTTTTATTTCATTTTAGAAAGTAACGTTAACGCGTATCATATGAACATGTATACAATATGAATATTCTATCTTATCCGATGATAAGATAATATTTTAGAAATAGCATAATACTAAATTTGAGAAGTAACTCTATACTTCTAATTGCTCAATTTAAATGGCCTGAAAACTTCGTACCCTATTACTCTATAACAATGGTTTCATATACCATGATACCATCTAATCTAATAAACTGTCTAACAAGGGTCAACTGGTGTAAGCACTCGCTCGATTGTTTCGCATAGCAGCAGAAGCTTTACATCCTCCGCAAGAATCGATTTTATAGATTCCAGATCAACCACGGCACACAGTTTATTCCTCCAAGTATGCAGAAACGCGATCTTTGAATTGTCTCGAGCACGATAGTTTCATGTTTCAAGTGCAATCGAGCAACAGGTATACCGCTGCATAGGTTTCATTATTCAGGGTACGTTTTCCGTTTTAACATGATCGCAGGATTTAATTCTCGTCCGAGTATCCTGAAAATTTTGCTGTATGTCGAACGAATAGCTAATGTTCGTAGTTTGAATGTTCACAGTCTGGTATGTGTATCTGCCTTGCACAACAGAAATGTTTCATTCTCATAACATCGCGCATTAATGTCTATCGTTGTTTCTAGAGAAAGTAGAGGATTCGTAGACCATAGCAATACGTTTCACTTCAAATAATGTTCAATTCGGTTTAATACGAGCAAATAAAGCAACCAATAAATCTGTAAATGTTTCGCTTTATACCTACAATGGTAGGTGCGCCAAAATAACGGAGGTACACTATACTGCATTATGTGTCATAATTGACCATTCTATCGTGTTCTTTACGTTCGGATCCGTTTCTCTATTATTTCGCATACCTGACTCCGTTGCTTAATTCTACCATTTCGTATATTTAAGTAACCTTTATTTGGACGATTAACTTACAGCGAAAAAATAAACTAAACTTCGTATAGGTGTTATAAGATTATCTTGTTATATGAGCAAAGTCGCAATTTTTGCACCATGTGTGCTTTCGGAGAACCACGTTGTAAAAGATAAGGTATAAATAACAGCATATTTTTTAGTATTCGCTTAATAACATACACGTACGAGCAAATTATTGTTAGATCGATACAAAAATGAGTGCGGATTTGAAGCTACAACTTTAAAACCGTACTTATGAATAAACCATATTTTAAAATCATACCGCGAGCATGACTGAAACCTTGTAAAATGAAAACTCCAATATTGAGTAACTAAGAATGATCATTAGATCGCAGATTTTATGCATTTATGAGAAACACAAGGGCTCGAAATGTAAAACAATAGAAAGTTTAAATATATTTCTCGATATCGATGCATTGTTTTTATCTGATCAGAACGATTGAAAAACCGGATGAAATTTCTGTTTGGTTCCTGGTGCTCATGACTGATGGATACAATTTTTAATTTCCACAACGATTGGTTTAATAATCAGATACCAATGACACTGACTTTTGCAACGAAGAAATAACGTGATACTTAAGGTAATGGAGCCGGCTGTTGCGGGGTGGCCAATTGGTGTGTCTTTGGTTTGTTTTAGGGCACAATTAAGTTGATACTTATGGAAAAATACATATTAAATTCTTTCGTGTCGATTATTTTTGAATAAAAATGTTTTATTCGGACGAAGACACCCCACAATAACCGGCTCAACTACCCTATAAGAAGACATGCGCAAAGTACGCGCGACGGTCAGCGTATTAACTCTTGGCGGGAGAAGATTGTTCTAGAGTACACAATTTGTTCTTCAACAAACTAAATTATGTCGCAAAGATTTAACTAATGGGAAAAATGAAGAATGTCTCCCGATCTTCATTACGTATCTATGTAATTAAATGAAATGTTTTCAGCTTCTAAAACAAGACATAAAATCCTGATATCGTCCTCTCTCGACGCTCTTCCACAAATGCGACGGAGACCGCAATTATTTCCGCGTCGAGCTAATGAAGTAGAATAATCGATTGTTTGCTGACACACAAGTGATCAAGGAATTAGACTCTCGATAAGGCGTAAATGAAATCGAACTTACGGATGAGGCGGTGGCGCGTGGAAAGCTGCGGCGGCGGCCGCAGCCGCAGCGGCTGCGTGATGCTCCCATGCTGCCGCGGCTGCAGCCGCCGGATGTGGCGGTGGTGGAGGTCCATGGTGAGGGTGGAACGGCGGCGGCGGCGGCGGATGCGGGTGCGGATGAAAGGCCGCGTGGAACGCCGAGTGTGGATGATGAGGGGGTGGCGGTGGTGGCAGCAGGGAGAACGTTTCCTGATGATAAGCCACCTCTTTTTCCGGCATTTTGTCGCGATTAGCTAGAGCCCAGTACTGCGCCAGTGGGCCGGCTGCCTTTTCCTCTAGGATCAGGGAAGATTCTGCTGTCCGACACCCCGTGCCCGACGATGCGAACGACTTTTGATCCACGATAGCATAGTCCGCCCCTGAAGAGACCAACTCGTCTCGATTCGACGAGTATCCGTCTCTTCCTCCGATAGCGACGTTCGTCGATCGCCTGAAGTTGCAGCGGAAAGCTGACGGTGTCCGCGAGCGCTGCAGCCCTCTCAAGTCAACATCTTTACCGACGCCGGGGTTGGTTCTAATGGGACTCCTGCTCCCGTCGGCTGGCTGGTCGGCGCCTCGCTGAGAACCAATTCTGACGCGATTCTGTGTAGCTCTTCCGCCGCTTTCTCTTCTCTGGGATAATAAGGCACTTGATCTCGAGGCTCGCTCCAACTGCCGCAGCTCCGAGAACCGTCCGAGCAGCGACTACAGTCTGCTAACCGCTCCGAATACGCAAATACCGAAGTTTAGGAACGTCCGACTCTAGTCCGCGCGATCATCCGATCTCGATGCACGATCGAACCACAGAAAGGGTCCACCGTCAAGGGTTGTCAACAGTCAGAACCAACGGAATTCCGCGGAACCGTCCACTGACGTTCCCACAATGTCATCCACTTCCGGATCACGATCACAATCGGCTGACTGGCTGGGGGGGAGGGGGGTTACGTCGGCTCGCGTCACACCATGACAGACACCACCGAACAGTGTGGCTCACTATCACTGTTTTCCACGGCGAACTGCACACTAGAAAAACGAAACCCGCGCAGATGATAGCGACCGGCGATCCTCACTCGATAGTCCCCGCGTGTCATCCACTGGGAACACCGTCGAGGGTTGAACGAACGAAACAAGATGAGACCAAGAAAGAAGGAAGACGGCTACCGATCCAGTGACGGGGGTGCGAGTTCGAAAAATGCGCGTTTGCGAGCCGTGTGTGCGGGCTGTCACGGTGCTCGTGCTTTGGCGGGTATGGCGGTACTGAGAGTCCACCACCACCACCACCACCACCGGTGCCACCACCACCATCACCACCACTACCACTACCATTACCACCACCAGCAGTGCCAGCACGAGCTCCGACGAACGGTGGTGGCTGCGGTCGTGCGTTCTCGGATGGGCGTGCGTGCGACGAGGACCGTCTTCCGAGGAAAACTCGAACTCGAAGAGAGGGAGAGTGACGGACGTACGCCCCTGCCGCGATCCGTTGCGAACAGAGCGAGAGGGATCGTGGCTGGGAGCAAGATGGAGGAGGACGGAAGGGTCCAGTGGATCCTCGGTCCGAATGGTGGGAAGAAACTTGCGGAGTGAGACCGCCGAGGGAAGGAGTTAGCGGGCACCCAGGTCGAAACGGGAGGACTTCCGACGGCCTGCGTTGGAACGGGACAGAGAACGCGTGTCAGTTCGACAACTCAACTAGCACCAGCCGTCCCTGACTCCCACCTTCGCTCCTTTCGGCTCCTTCCTCCCGTCCGTTCGGTCTCTCGAAGGCGTACGAGGCGGACTGAGAGATCGTCGGGGTAGGGATTGCGTGGGTGACGCACGGGGAAAGATAAAACTATTCCAGGGGGAGAAACTATCCATCAAGGATGTATAGACGGCCCGTGTCCACGATGATGGAGACGATTAGTGGGTCCAGTATGTGTTTACGCCCGCCGAATCGGCTGAGAGATGCTTTCGGGGCACCGCGGGGAGGACTTGAATGGCGCTACGTCAAAATATTTTTTTGGCAACCGCGACGGCACTGCTTCAGGGAGCGGTGATAGAGAACGTGGCTCTAGGGTGCTGATCTTTCTCGTCTTGGAGCGATGTTCCATTTTTCGGTTCTTGGTTCGAAATTGCGATTTTAACCCTTTGCACTCGAGTGGTGACTCAGAGGCACCGCTAAAATTTGTTACACCACGTTTTAAGATGATTTTTATATTAACAAAGTTTAGATTTGAAAAATTGTTAAGTGTGTAACTGTTGTGTGAGTCCCAAGAATCAATTTCATATGCATAAANGGATCGTGGCTGGGAGCAAGATGGAGGAGGACGGAAGGGTCCAGTGGATCCTCGGTCCGAATGGTGGGAAGAAACTTGCGGAGTGAGACCGCCGAGGGAAGGAGTTAGCGGGCACCCAGGTCGAAACGGGAGGACTTCCGACGGCCTGCGTTGGAACGGGACAGAGAACGCGTGTCAGTTCGACAACTCAACTAGCACCAGCCGTCCCTGACTCCCACCTTCGCTCCTTTCGGCTCCTTCCTCCCGTCCGTTCGGTCTCTCGAAGGCGTACGAGGCGGACTGAGAGATCGTCGGGGTAGGGATTGCGTGGGTGACGCACGGGGAAAGATAAAACTATTCCAGGGGGAGAAACTATCCATCAAGGATGTATAGACGGCCCGTGTCCACGATGATGGAGACGATTAGTGGGTCCAGTATGTGTTTACGCCCGCCGAATCGGCTGAGAGATGCTTTCGGGGCACCGCGGGGAGGACTTGAATGGCGCTACGTCAAAATATTTTTTTGGCAACCGCGACGGCACTGCTTCAGGGAGCGGTGATAGAGAACGTGGCTCTAGGGTGCTGATCTTTCTCGTCTTGGAGCGATGTTCCATTTTTCGGTTCTTGGTTCGAAATTGCGATTTTAACCCTTTGCACTCGAGTGGTGACTCAGAGGCACCGCTAAAATTTGTTACACCACGTTTTAAGATGATTTTTATATTAACAAAGTTTAGATTTGAAAAATTGTTAAGTGTGTAACTGTTGTGTGAGTCCCAAGAATCAATTTCATATGCATAAAATGCATTTTATCATATAAAATAAAAAATACTATAAGTGAGAAAAATGTTTTATATTTACAGTTAAAATAGCCTCGAGTGCAGTTTGTGAATTCCTGTCGTCTGCGATTTCTGCGCCGTGTCGTTTCGCGAGCGCAAACTTTTTGGTTGGGCTATTACCGTTGCACATTTCAAAAATCGTCATTGGACTGTTTTTCGTTCCGGACTCGCGCGACGGGTGCTCTATGCTGTACACGGACAGCCAACATGTCATTCTATCGACGACTACCGTTCGCTCCAGTCGCGCTTTCTCAATCAATTAAAACCGTTCCTGCGATACATCTAAAACGTCTTTGTTCAAGTTCGAAATCTCTTCGACCAGCGTTTTTCTCGAACAGCGTTAATAACCTCAAGGTACATACATAATTGGATGATTTTCAACCCTAAGTTTAAAGGCTGTTTTATCATTGTGACCGTCGCGTTACACAAATGTGCTTAACGAAATTATTTGCTCAGTTTCGAAAATTGATTTTTACACCTATTTATTATGTCTTTCTATTTTTATTAGGATTCGCAAGCGTGAAAATATTGAGAAAGTAATTGCAGTCACATACGACTTGACTTATCAATATTAATTTGATTAAATCGAATTTAACTTTGTGATATTTTTGAGGTTGCAGCGTTGCAGTCGAAGTGTTAATATGCCTTGGTGTAAATATGGTGACGCCTTGTTTTAGATCAAACAAAATAATATGTTGGCAATCTTCCATTTTACGCTCGGATCGAATTTGATTATAAATGAAATAACTGTAAGTTTTCGATAATCTTTTCTATCCCGGAAATGTTGCTATAAAATTCGGTGTATTATTAAAAAGACCATCAGTTTTAGAACTGCTTTAAATAATGTTATTCAGCTTTGCATTTAATACCTTCGTAATTCCTTCTATATTGCGCGTCTTTGAATCGAGCTTCTTTAAGGTATTATTAAAAAATATTAATATTTATGGTTGGAGTTCTGGGGTGCGGGTATAATTAAATGTAACTTCTCTTCTTTAATAATCTCTTGGTCTTGTCAGATGCATATCGCATAGCTGCCAAAGCGGAAGAGAAGTAAGATTACGCTGGATCGCGATTAACAAGCAGCCGTGCGGTAATTAAACACAACTTTCCATATCATATTCGACAGGTGTCGCGACTATTACATGTTCCTTTCTTTATAAATGCTCATAATTTGACTAAATTACTACGCTTATAAATATTAACGTTTCTTCTTAATTAATCTTTAAGCTATCTACTTTAAGGAGATTATAAATATATTTTATAAAGACTTCACTTTGACATTTTTCTATCATTGAAATTACTTCCTACAATCGTTTGTAAATTGGAAATTTTTATTTTCGTGGATGTATTAAAAATGAAATAAAATAAAAATCACGCTCTTCTTCTACATTTATTCTGCTTTATATTTATTCATTAACACTAATTAAACAAGTATTATATACGATCAAAACAGCATGTTCCTCCAAGACATTTATTGATCCAATATAATATAGTAATTGTTAAACTTGAATTCTTACAACAGAGTTAAAGTACAAATGAACGAAGTTAATTTAAAGCAGAAAAGGAACGATTTAATCATAAAAGTTTCATTTGATCTTCGGCCTTTTACAATTTATTCTTGTTTCTGTGAATCATACTTGTAGGTTATCTTTGTGATATTTTTCATCCTGAAATAATAATTTTTATGTAATTGTGTCATACTTGCTTCATCTCCTGCAGAAAGGAGTTATTCTGCGGCAGGATTTTTAGTCCGATAAATAAGTGAATTACTTCATTATTAATTTTCCTACGCACACAATGAAATATTGTATTATACATATAACCACAAACTAAATATTTGTCATCGCGTTAAAGCAGCATTTCCGACACCCGTGTGACGAAAGTGCAAATTTTCTCAGACAATAGACACGGATATACCCTCTCGAGAGCTTGACTTCCGGCACGCACAAAGTTTTACGATGGCACGCGGTCAAATATTTTTTTTTCTTCAAGGACCTTCTTTCAGCGTGACCGGAGAAAGCACGGAGAAACCTGGACTACATCGACACAGATCTCTTGGAAACTGGAAGCGAACCGCCTACTGTCAACGTGTCTTGACTTTTCTCGCGTTTTCGTTCCTTGGCGGTTTCGTGTTTCGGCGCGGTCGTTCGAACATGTGCGCGACAACTGAGGACCCTAAGCACAGAAATCTCGTCCCCGTATGGGCCTACTATTTCAGTGAGTTGCACTTCAACGAATTTCAGTGGCTCGCGACACGATCAATCTATCGTTCATATCTGTTTAACTACTTATTCGATAATATCAAGTGAGACTCTTAATAAAACAACAAATCTTCGTGTCCTATCATCAACTATAAAATGCTCTGTCTAGCATGATTAAAAAGTTATAGAAAAGCTTAAACCAACATGGCAAGCATTATAATACTTACTTATACTGTAACTCTTCAAGTGCGGGTAATATAGAATTCGCGTTCTAAATATTTCGTAAAAAAAACTTTACATAACTATTTAGCGAGTAAACTGAATTAAAAAGTTTTGATAAACTCGTATCACCTTCTTATACGTATCTAGAAACACATCAAGTGTAATACTAAAAGCTGGTTGTTTCGATGTGCGTAAAACAATGACGTAAAAATACTAACACACGAATTAAGCCCAAGTACGGCGATAACATGTATAGGAACAAATTGTTCGGAACAACAACGTTGGCAGTATCTCTAGCTCGTTTGAGTAGTGCTCCTTTCTAGATAATTACCAATCATTCTAACAAAAATTTCTTCCCATAAAATTCCAATACTTGTCCGAGTAACGACCGACTCTGACTGAGATGAAACGCATAGAGTCATTAACCATCCGTTGGCTCGTTGCGGTTGTCCCGCGACTCAGGTCGGGATGCTGGTGCCCGTCGTAACTCTCCTGCTCAGGTATGGTCTCTCTTCATCAGCAGGAACGCGTCACGTCCGCGTCTCCCGCAAACACCCGTGGCCGCTTATTATTTTGTTGATTTTGCCGGGCCAAGAACGGGCCCCGGGCCGGTCCGGGCTGGTCGTTCGAGGCATCTCCTTCTCCCCCGCCGTTCGCAGTTTCGCTCCGTCCTACCGGGACCTAATTATCCTCCAACGACCGGCCAATCAACGCACGAAACGACAGCTCTTGTTCCGTTGCCACCGGGCTACCG